ATGAAGCTCTTTTATCTGCCCCTTCCCTTCCCCAGTTCCAGAAACAAAGCCCTTGAACCCAAGCTCATCTAACCAGTCCCGGTGGAGCTGGGTTTCGATTGGAAGGTTGGAAGTGAAACGACAGGGGAAGTCGGATGGTTTCTTAGCAGAGGACAAAGGAGTTCGGTGCTTTAGACACAGGATGGGTTCAATCAGGTAGTTTAGGGGTGCCCGGCAAGAAGAGGAGTGGCAGTCTCCCCCTTCCCTTTCTCATGCAGGCAGCGGGAGTGGCCACAGGGATGGGGATCCTTTCTGTCCCTGTCTTGCTAGGGTCCCAGAAAAAAAACCAGAGAATGGAAGGCAGGAGGACTGGGCCCTAGCTCCACCTCCACTTGTCACCCTAGGGAGCAGGTCACTTAACCGTTGTGGGCCTCAGTTTCCTCACTTGAAGAATGATGGTCTGGGCTAGATTATGGAATATGTTTTAAGTAGGATAAGGCCAGGAAGTGAGCATGCCTCTCCTGAGACCACCCAGTGGGGCAGAGAAAAAAGTGGGGCCTGTCACTCATCCCAGTTCTCTTTCTGTAGCTCCCGCCGGTTCTCACATGGGCTTCATTAGCAAACATTTGTGCACCAGGCCTGTGTGCAGAACATAGGCCCGCCCTTAGTGTTTGTGGGACTCGGGGCAAGAGAACACATGGGCCCACATACTATATATTTAAAAGTTATAAGACAAGCTAACAAACTCTTAAACAAAATATGTTCTGTCCTCCTACCTTGGCAGAGATACCTCCGTAACGATCTGGAAAGACAAGTTCAAGTTTGGGATTTTTGTATTGGCTATTTTTTACCAATTCTGAGCTGGAACATGGTGGCAGAGAATGGCCCCAGCTCCGGGTCCATAGTGCGGCTTCCCTCGGTCCATCCCACACCATGAAGGCCCTTTCCCACACATGTCCTCAGGTGCAAGCAGCTACCCTCTACGGGGCCACTTCTCCAGTGCGCACAGTGCTGGGTGGCACAGCCTACCTTCAGGAAGATGGACTAAGAAAAGTGGGTTCAGAATCTGTTGGGCAGGGAGTTCTGAGGGCCCAGGTACCCAGAATGCAGTTTTCGGTGGGCATGTCCATTGGCCCCATGACTCCTTGCCTTGTGCCTCCCTCCACAGTATGAGGACTTGGGTGAAGGACTTCCCTGGCCATCCAAACACGATCAGAGAGAAGGCTGATGCCTGCGGGAGGAGAGAGGGTGCCAGGAAGGGGTTCATTTCTTAGAGAAGGTGCTAAGCCTGCCAGGAATGGTGGGCTTTCAGCAGGTAAGAGAAATGGGAAAAGAAAGGAGCAAAGGTCCGGGACCTGCCATTCAGGGTTAGAGTGTCTGCAAATTGTGACCACAGTGCAGAAGGGCTTTGGAGCTGGTGAGGGGCAGCCTCACCCATCAGAGCTCGATGAGACCCCACAGCCCATCCCAGGCAGCTCTGCACTGGGCAAAAGTCCTTCTATCCCTCCACACATCCTGCCACCTTGGTCATCAGCGTTTCCTTACCCATTCCCATCAGGGAAGCTTAGCTACTAAGAACTTTCCGAAGGAATTCTGCCCCCTGATTTGCCGAAAGAGAGGACCCTGGAATGAAGCTTTGTTTAGGATCAGTGCACCTGCATCATTTTGCCTGGTAGCCAGAGGCTGCTGCAGAAGGAACAGCCCTCATGGCCTCTGGGAACAGCCCCTCTACCCAGGGCTGAAGTTGGTGGATAAACGTCCAGGCTCCCTGACGTGCAGCTGAGATAATTCTGAGCTGTGTGCTGTACCCCGTCGCCCGGTTTGCCACAGATCAGGCTGCCCTTGCCCACAGTGCAAACTTGCTTGATTGCACCATTAGTTTCTACTTTCCCCGCTCCCCGGTTGGTGCTTTCCGCAGTCACCTCTCAAATCTAGTGCTTCCATGTGTATCCGTGTCTCAGGATCTGCTTCTGGGGAACTGAACTAAGCATAAGGCCATTGCATGTTGCAGTTGAGCCTGAGGTTCCTCGTCTGTAAATAAAGGCGTGGAAGGAAATGATCGCAGAGTTGGCCACATGGGTCTTGTATCAGATGGTCTGGGGCACCTGACTTTGTTTCGCTCAGTGTCAGGGTAAACCTGCCCTTGCCCTCTGCCCCTGTGGCGTGGTCTTGTCTCTGTGTGGTGTGTGTGCGTGTGTGTAAGCACCAGGAGTCAGGAGCAGAGAAATAGAAGGAATCTGGTTTAATACTCAAGTCCTATCTAGGAGCCCCCATAGGAGGCTGCCGACCGGCTGAACTCCTGAACCGAGGGAGGAATTCTGTCTTTTCCTTTCATTAGAGGCCCCTTGCCGAGTCCCTGCTGACCACCCCCACCTGTGAATGCAGCAGCAATCACAAAGGAATGCTGGGGCTTCCCACTCCCCCCCCCCTTCTGGAGAGGGAAGCTTTTCTAGAAGGCCACCTGCAAAGGCAAAGTTGTTGTATCCTAGGCCACCTTGATTTCACGTGCTCGCTTAGCACAGCCCTCCTCCCCTTTTCTGCCCCTTCTTATCAGCCGCCAAAAGCTTTGTGACCGAGCCAGCGGGGTGCAAACTGCCCTGAGGCCCCTGAGTGGCTGGGGGCGGGGCTAACTAGACCTTTAGATCAAAGGGTCCCGTCTGAAGTTTCTCCCTGGGCACGCCTGTCAGTCGCACTTCCTGTGACAACCCCTCCCCCTTGCTTTTCTCCCGCTTGGGAACAACTTTTTTATTCCAAGGCTGCTTGTCCCCCAGTTGGAGTCACGTGGTGGATGGACCCCTTCCTCTCTCCCCAGGGTCTCTGATTGTTCCTTACTTTCCATTCAGGAGAAATGTCTGATTTCACAGGCAGGGAAGGTCTTCCCCAGGGAGATTCTTGGCCCAGAGCAGCAGGCCCACTAGCCTGGAGAAGGCTGAATGCAAAGTACACCCCATAAGCCACACACAACGGTTGTAGGTGCAGACAGGCTGCTGGCTTGGCCAGGGTTCAGCTTCTGGCCTGCTGCTGGGGAAGGGAGGGGAAGCTTCCTTGGGCCCAGGTTCAGGATGAAGACTGCAAAGGATTCCTCCACCACCAAAGCCAGCATGGCCAGGACATCCAGGACGGCCATGGATACCCGGGAGTTCGGTCCCAGCAGATCAGATGGCCAGACCCCACAGCCAGGCTTGATGGACGTGCTGGGGCCAGAAAAATGTGGGGACACCTGAACTGCAGACACACTTTGAGCAGACCCCCTAATCACTCCCCTAAACCAGGGCCTTCTCAACTTTCCCGAGCACAGGAATCGTTTTCAAATGCAGGTGCTGGTTCCAGAGGGCTGGGTGGGGGTGAGGTGCTGAGAGGCCAAATCCTAACCAGCTCCCAGTGCTGCTGCTGCTGGTCGCTGGGCCACACACTTTGAATAGCGAGGGCCTAACTGAGGCCTGATGGATTTGAGAAGCCCCAGCCAGGTTCTGAAAATGATCCAGGGACCTGCTGCCTCGGGCGGTGGCCAGCACAGCCTCAACCCCCAAACTGGGTCTCTAGTCTGATTGTCATGACAGTGGCATCAATCACTGCAAAGAAAGGAAAATCAGCAGCCTGCATGTCGGGGAAAACATCATTATTTTAAGCTGCCCTGGCCTTTTCCCATCTCTCCAAGTTATATAATATGTCCTCGTGGAAAATGCTGATAATGCTATTTGTGTGGCAGGAAGCCGATTTCTGGCTGCTCATTGCTTGGGGCTGGGGCTGGGGTCAGGGCAGGAGGTGGGGTCTGCAGAGGGTTTTAAGGAGAGAAAGGGGCCAGGCAGATGGAGAGGCCAAGGCCCGGGGATAAAGCCGATTGGTGTGTCAGCAAAATCTGTCACTGGCTCTGTGATTCGAAAGGCAGACACATTCTTTCATCTCTGGTAATCCTCATCCGATGCAGGATTTTCTTGCCATTAAATCTGGAGAAAGAAAAATAGGTGCTCAAACCTGCACAAGCAACTATTCCTCCTCGCCCGCCCCCTGCTCACTGTCCCCCGCCTTCCTTCTCTGTTGGACCATTTTTAACGTCTGTGGCTGCCTGATTTGGGAGATGGATGGGCTGGGGGAGCCAGAGGGTGCCTCGGAGAAGGAGGAGCGGGACCAGGCCGGCCTCCCAGGATGGTAAGCGACATTTGGGGACTATTCACTTAGGCTTCTCTGCAGGGGTTTTCTCTCTGTCCATTTTCTTACTGCGTTGTCAGTGAGTCCATCTGAGTGGCTGTCAGGGTTTTAGCCTGATGAAGGGCTTCTGAACAGATTCAAGCAGGGAGCTTCTGCCTGGCTGCTGTTACTGGTTTTTCTTAGCCCAACACAAAGATTATGGGGAGAGTGAGTGTGAAGAAGAGGGGAAAGCAGGGCAGTGGAGGTGTGAGGAGGGCCTGAGTGCCCTGGTTCTCCAGGGACCGCTCCTGGGCACCTGGTGACCTGTGTTCTCTCCCCTCAGGTAGGGATCCCACAGCTGGGTGGTTCTAAGCCACCAGTTTCGTGAAAGGTCACAGGATGCTGGTCCTGCTGTTGCATGGTGAGTTTTGAGGCCCGATCCCTCTGTCCCCCAGCAGTCTTTTGCCAGTAGGTGCAGAGGTTGAGAAGCCCATAGAAGATGCTAGCAGATGTGTGGAAACCCAAGTGGCATGGTCTTCAAGTGGCTTCCATGAAAGCTGCACCTGGACACCAGTGCAGATGAGGTTTCAG